ATTTAGATGTATTTGCTTCTATATACAGTATTGTCTATTTAAAATCAAAGAAAACAGTGCATAAAATGTGTATCGGAATTATAGAAAACAGGAAAAAATGGTAAAGACAATATAACTAAACTAAAATGATGTAAACATGATGATAAAATGCTAAGGAATTGGACATTAGTATATTGTGTTGAAGAAGGCCACGGGCTTTATGAAATACTCTGGTGGGCCATGTACAGCCTGTGGGCTGTAGGCTGGGCACCCCTGCATTCCCCAAAACCTCAAAAGACATTCTGATGGGATATTACAAACTCCGTAGTTGCACACTCACTGCCCAAGGGGAATGCAGACCTAGCCGAGTGCAGAAAGCAATGGAAAAAATGAGAAACCAAAGGGAAAATGGGACACCGAGTGGGGCTAGCCCGAGCCTTCCCTCCACCCCCACCCCACGGGGCTGGCCCAGCCACACACCCGAGCTATGTCCCCCCTCCCCACGTGGGGCTGGCATCGCTGCTTATGCAAGCCCTGCCTCCCCACTGCGCAGGGCTGGCATCACCGCTCATGCCCCCCACACGTTCCTCCGCACCCCACTTTTTTGACAAAAAGTTGGGCATTTGTCCCGTTTGCTCTTGTCACGGGACAAATGCCCTGTTTCTCAAAAAAGTTGGGGTGGCTGGGACAGGGCTTAAAAAAGGAACTGTCCTGGCCAAAACAGGACGTATGGTCACCCTACATCTGAATGAACTGTGATTATTGTTTAAGTACTGGGGGCCTGCTTTGTGTTGCACAGGCCACAACATGAAGATGGTCCCTGCCTTGCTTTTGTGTCCCCTTTCCATGAACTTTTGATCAGTTGAATGCTCATGAAAGCAAATCTAAAGCTCAGAGGCACAAATACTCATTGAAGGTAAAATCTTCCAATGCAAGATCCAAAGAGGCTGGATCAGACTGTTCTCAGTGGTAGCAAATGACAGAACAAGGAGTAATGGTCTCAAGTTGCAGTGGGGGAGGTTTAGGTTGGATATTAGGAAAAACTTTTTCACTAGGAGGGTGGTGAAGCACTGGAATGGGTTACCTGGGGAGGTGGTGGAATCTTCTTCCTTGGAGGTTTTTAAGGTCAGGCCTAACAAAGCCCTGGCTGGGATGATTTAGTTGGTGTTGATCCTGCTTTGAGCAGGGGGTTGGACTAGGTGACCTCCTGAGATTCCCTTCCAACCCTGATATTCTATGATTCTAAGAACAGACCCGTGGCCTGTGCTCCACCTATCTCCTTTCCCACAATCAAGTTGCTTATTTAGGCCTAAATTCAAGCCCTCTGAACCAGGATTGATACAAGTGAGAGAAATTTTCAACTTGCATGTCCAGTTGCAATATCAAAATTCACACACTGTTGGTTAACTAATTAAGGCACCCACTCAGGAAACAGAGAAGCTGTCAGCTGACTTGTATAAGTAATAACTGAAGTGTGTATTTTGAAGTCTGAGCAGTGACTATTCTCCCGGAGCCCTGTAGAAGTTATTCATCATGTCACAGGTTATTTTTAGGGCTGTCAATTAATTGCCGGTAACTCAAGCAATTAACTCAAAAAAATTAATTGTGATTAAAAAAATTAATCATGATTAATCACAGTTTTAATTGCACTGTTAAACAATAGAATACGAATTGAAATTTATTAAATTTTCTACTTTTTCATATATATTGTATTCTGTGTTGTAATTGAAATCAAAGAGTATATTATTTTTATTACAAATATTTGCATTGTAAAAATGATAAAAGAAATAGTATTTTTCAATTCACCTCATACGAGTACTGTAGTGCAATCTCTGTGTCATTAAAGTGCAATTTACAGATGTAGATTTTTTTTGTTACATTGTTTTGTTTTTGAGTGCAGTTATGTAAAATTTCAGAGCCCACAAGTCCACTCAGTCCTACTTCTTGTTCAGCCAATCGCTCAGACAAACAAGTTTGTTTACATTTACAGGAGATAATGCTGCCCACTTCTTATTTACAATGTCATCAGAAAGTGAGAACAGGCATTGGCACGGTACTTTTGTAGCCAGCATTGCAAGATTTATGTGCCAGATATGCTAAACATATGTATGCCTCTTCGTGCTTTGGCCACCATTCCAGAGGACAGGCTTCCATGCTGATGACACTCATTAAAAAAATAACGTGTTAATTACATTTTTGACTGAGCTCCTTGGGGGAGAATTGTATGTCCAATGCTCTGTGTTCACCCACATTCTGCCATATATTTCATGTTATAGCAGTCTCAGATGATGTCCCAGCACATGCTGTTCGTTTTAGAAATACCTTCACCGCAGATTTGACAAAACGCAAAGAAGGTACCAATGTGAGATTTCTAAAGATTGCTACAGCACTCGACCCAAGGTTTAAGAATCTGAACTGCCTTCCAAAATCTGAGAGGGACGAGGTGTGGAGTATGCTTTCAGAAGTCTTAAAAGAGCAACACTCTGATGCAGAAACTACAGAACCCGAACCACCAGAAAAGAAAATCAGCCATCTGCTGGTGGCATCTGATTCAGATAATGAAAATGAACATGCATCGGTCCACACTGCTTTGGATCGTTATTGAGCAGAACCCATCATCAGCATGGACGCATGTCCTGTGGAATGGTGGAGGAAGCATGAAGGGACATATGAATCTTTAGCACAGCTGGCACGTAAATATCTTGCAACGCTGGCTACAACAGTGCCATGAGAACACCTGTTTTCACTTTCAGGTGACACTGTAAACAAGAAGTGGGCAGCATTATCTCCTGCAAATGTAAACAAACTTGTTTGTCTGAGCGATTGGCTGAACAAGGAGTAGGACTGAGTGGACTTGTAGGCTCTGAAGTTTTACATTGTTTTGTTTTTGCATGCAGGTTTTTTTTTTTTACATAATTCTACATCTGTAAGTTCAACTTTCATGATAAAGAGATGGTATTACAGTACTTGTATAAGGTGAATTGAAAAATACAATTTCTTTTTTTTTTACAGTGCAAATACTTGTAATCAAAAATAAATATAAAGTGAGCATTGTACACATTGTATTCTGTGTTGTACTTGAAATCAATATATTTGAAAATGTAGAAAACATCCAAAAATATTTAAATAAATGGCATTCTATTATTGTTTAACAGTGTGATTAATCACGCTATTCATCGCAATTTATTTTTTTAATCGCTTGATGGCCCTAGTTATTTTCAATGATGAATATATGTGAGAACATTGTGATGGGCTCAAGAACCTCTCATGAGTGAAAAAGAGGCAACCCTCAACCAAATACGTGGTCCAGTCCGAATGAGTCACTCTTTGTGTACTATAAAAAGCTTAAGGCACTTGGCACCACACATCATATCAAATATTCTTTGTTACATGGCTATTGTTTTACTCGTTTGATATTTGTAAATCTGTACAAACAGGCAGATAAAGGAACATGTGCTGTTGGTTCCTAGGAAGCAGGGTGTTGTGACTGGACTCTGTAAATGTATATGCACCAACAGCTCCCTCCAATATCAGTGGCATAGCCAGGTGGAGGGAACAGGGGGAGCAATAAAAAAAAAGGCCCCACCCACTGCGGCGCTTTCACTCACCTGGCAACGCTCCGGGTCCTCGGTGGCGGGACCTTCACTTGCTCCGGGTGTCTTCGGTGGCACTGAAGGTCCCGCCGCCGAAGACCCGGAGCGAGTGAAGATCCCGCCGCCGAAGACCCAGAGCGAGTGAAGATCCCGCCGCCGAAGACCCGGAGTGAGTGAAGGTCCCGCCGCCGAAGACCCGGAGTGAGTGAAGGTCCTGCCGCCGAAGACCCGGAGTGAGTGAAGGTCCCGCCGCCGAAGACCCGGAGCGCCGCCGGGTGTGTAAAATTAAGCGCCGCAGCAGGTGGCGCCTTTTTTTTTAATCGCTCCCCCAGGTGAGTAAAAAAGTGCCAAGAAATTGACACGGCGCCACTTGTGCTCAGTGGGGGAGCAGCCACTCCCTCACTCCCCCCTAGCTACACTACTGGTGGGTGTTTGATGCTGAAGATCCCAGGTCTGAACCCTGCTGAGACCTGTGGGCACCTGGCCGCTGTGTTACGTAGTGTCGTGGTTCAGGGCTAGCTGCACCTTTGATCCCTCTCATTCTGGCTGAGTGCACCTCGCTCCGGCGTCAGGCCTCTTGCCAGCACCGGGGCTGGGGTGGAATTCCTGGAGTCTCCCACTCAGACCAGATCTCAGCTGCAGCCCCCCGTGTACCAGCTGGGATTGCTCAGCAAGCCCGATTGGGTTTGGCGACGTGCAGGACTTCCCTTCGGGAGCTGTGGTGAAAACAGAGCCTCAAAGCAGCCTTTTCAAAACAAAGTATTGTTTAATCTTAACAGCAGGAACAAAGGGTACCAAGAGAAAGGACAAGGAACCGTTTATGTGCATATCTGTCTTAGCTAAGGCTTAGGTAGGCCTAGTTTCTCCAGACACCCCCATTTCTCAGACTGGGGTTCAATCTGCTTCCTCATAGCCCTCTGTCTCTCCCTATGCCCCAGGGGCTCAGTTTTTATCCACTCCAAGTTTCTTTGTTTCCGTTTCCCATCTGGATTTCCCTCTCCACTTTACCAGTCCAGAGACTGTTGAACTCAGCATGGTCAGAGGCAAACTTCAAAGGGACTGATAACTGCATTGTTCCTTTTAGTGTTAGGGAATGGAGGGCTATCACACATGTCTGTCTGCTTTCCTGCCGAGGGGGCAAACTAATGCCTGAATTAACCCTTTGTAATCATAAAACAAACAGACACATAATAGCCATGTAATATTACAGGCATCATCCTTTACACGTGCTCACAGAAGTGAATGGCCTGTGCTCATATCCCTGTCTGTTTGAGGATTTCTCTCTCCAGGACTCGGGAGACGTGCTGGGTGACCTTGGGCAAGCTACATCATCGCCCCGTGCCTCAGTTTCCCCATCTGTGAATGGGAATAATGATCCAGCCCTCCCTTTGTAAAGTGCTTTGAGGTCTACTGCTGAATAGTGCTAGATAAGAGCTTGGTACCACCATTGTATGCGCTTTCTCTCCTGCCTCTCCTCACTGATGTTATGCAGTGTCTGGGAGCTTGTCTGTAACCTCCTGGGGTCTCTGTTCCAGGAGGAGGAGGGCAAGGATGACTCTGACACACTTGATCTCTACCAGCAGAGTCTGGGGGAGCTGCTGCTTATGTTAGCTGGTGAGTTACAGCCTGCAGTGGGATTCCAGCTGGCGCTGCTGGAATCTTGCTTAGCAACAGAGACCGTACATGCTGCTATTCTGTGCAGCGCTGGAGGCTAACGCTGCCTGCTCTCTTTCCAGCAGAGCCTGTGGGCAGGAGACGGGAGCTGCTTCACTCTGAGGTATGCAATGGGGTCGTTCCCTTCACCTGTCTCCCGGAGGAGCAGCCCAATGGGGATTTCAGTTACAGGCTCCCTTGGTTTTAGCATTTGCCTCCATTCCTTCCTGCTAGGGCTGAGGGGATGACCCACGGCTGGATACTGAGAGCCCTTTGCCAGTGGCAAGATCTCTGCCAAGGGGAGTGGCAGAAGTTTCATTACTCCAGACCAAGTTCTGGGTCAGGGACAATCCTGCTCTGACCTCCCTGGGAACAGGCTAGATTGGGCTTTCAGCTGGTGGGGTGTAAGCCAGGGGTGGGTTTGCAGGGGGAGCTCAGTGGATCATAGGACTGTATCCTATTCTGGGCCCCACACTTCAGGAAAGATGTGAACAAATTGGAGAAAGTCCAGAGAAGAGCAACAAAAATGATTAACTGTCTAGAAAACATGAGCTCTGAGGATAAATAGGTGAGAAAGCAGCAATATCCCTGGCTCAGGAAGATTTAGCAGGAACCTGGGCAGGAGATGGAAGGAAGAACTCACTTGGGGCTGCTGCCTCTCCTACCTGCTACTCAGTTCTAGAACAGCCGCATAGGCTCCATCTCGCCTCCGCCTCTTGGAGTGGTGGAGAGAAGGAGGAACAGCCCCACAGCATAGCAGCAGCCCTCTGTCACCTTCCCTGGTTTCCTCCTGGGACCCCAAGCCCACAAACCTTGGCAGCTGCAAAGGACTGTGGGATATGGTGGGTTGTGGGACGATTTTTTGTTGTTGTCTTCCGATAAAAAGCAATGCTCTGGACTGGATTATAATAGTACTTAGCACCTGTTCTAGAGCACGTTCCATCCCATTTTATGAATGGGGAAACTGAGGCGGGATGAAATCATGTAGTTAGTCTGCAGCTGAGCTGGGAACAGAACCCAGGCCCCCATGTGCCAGGCTGGTGCCCTAACCACTAGACAGTGCTGCCTTCCTTGGACTAAACAAGCTCGATTAGTCCAAATCAGCCTCCTTAACACTGACTCTTCACCTCCCAGCTGCACTCCCATGGTGGTCCTCGAAGCCACTGGTAGAGTTGCCTAGATCACAGCTGTCCTTCCCCCACTCCCCAATTCCTCCCCAGGTGACCCTTCTGGCTGAGGAAGGTCAGACCCAGCTCTCTCCTGAGGCTAACCATGTTGCCTTCTCCCAGGGAACCAAACCAGACTCCCTGCCGCTAAGCTGCCAGGCCAGCCTTTCCCCACTTCCTGAGCTGGCATCATTTAGCTGCCGGCTCATGCTCAGCTGTGACTCCTGGTCACGGAGCCGGACGAGTGATTGTTTGTGTCTTGCCGGCAGATTCAGACTCTGATGGGCCGGGCTGAGTACCTGAAAGAGCAGATCAAGGTACAGCAGGGCTGAGGGGTGAATTGGGGAGGATTCATGCGTGGGGTGGGGGCTGGGATGTAAATGGATACTTGGGAACATAAGAGAATGGCCTGGGTGGGATGGGGGGGGACGTGTTGGGGCACTTGCCAGGTGTGGGAAGGCGGGGGCGGTAAATTGGGTGTCTGGGGATTAGACAGCAATTGGTCCGTGGCCGCAGTGTGATGAGAACTCCCCTCTGTGTTCCAGATGAGGGACGCGCAATCCATGGGCAAGGAGATGCTGTCGGAGTCTGTCCGGAGCTGTGAGTGTGATTGTGCCTTACACAGCACTGGCCTCTCCCCCTCGCTGTTCCCTACTGCCAGTCCCCACTGCCAGCTCCCCCCACCGCCTCCCATTAGCATTGTCTCCCCCCCCCCCCATGCAACACTTCCAGTCCTTCTGCGGCGCTCAGCTCCACGCCAGCTGCCCTCCCTTCTCCACCTGGCTGTGTCTCCTTCAGCTCCACTGGCTTCTCACTGCTCTGTCTGCCCCGCTAACACCTCCCATGGGGTCTCCCTTCCCGTCCCTTCCCTCCGTTCTGCCTCCCACCCCGTGGAGTCTCTGTGGAGAACGTGCAGGGCCCGTGTGACTGTCCTCTGCCATCTCCCTGGCTAAGCCCCTCTGCACCTCCCAGGCTCCTGATCCCTCTGCTCAGCATTTGATTTTGGCTCCTCTCACCCCACTGCCACCTCCTGGCTGTCTCGCCTCGGCTGCACTTGTTCCTACAACTGACCCACACCCGCCCGCCGTCTTCACCTCTCTCCCGTCTCCCTTCTACTTCTGAACGGTTCCTTAAAGTCCTCCCACAGCCCCTCCTGTCTCTCCAGCTACTACCCGCTCTCCTCCTCCTTGTCCCCTTCTCGAACCTGCTACCTGCTCCTGACCCTCTCCCAGCTCTCTCCTGCATCCTCTGCAGTCCAGCTTCCGCCCCCGCTGGCCCAGCTCTCACTGAGACAGCCAGTGACCTGCTCCTGGCCGGTTCTGTGGGCCTGTCCAGATGCTCCTTCAGTGTCTCTCTCTGTGGTCCCATGTCCTGCTGTCCATCAGTGTCCTGTCAGGCTCCATCCTCAGTCCCCTCCTGCTCCCGCCATGCTCCGTCCCTGGGCGACTCCATCCGCTCTCACGCCACCAATTGCCATCTCCTTGTTAACAACTTCCAAATATGCCTCTGCTCCCCCGTTCAGCCCTGCATCTGCCACTCCCATAGTTCCTGCTCTGGGCCCTATCCCCATGTGTGTTCATCCTGCCCACTGCCTGTCTGATCCTGCTGCCCCCTACTCCCACTTGCTGCCTGGCCAGATCCTCGGCTTGCTGTCCCTGAGATCTCCTTCGCCCCCTAGTGGCGCCACACGTCCTCGTGCACCACCCACTAGGCCAGGAATAGCCTGGATTCGGCCTGGGCTCTCTGCAGCCTCCAGACACAGATTCAGCGCTGTCCACCCCTCTCAGCCTCTCGCCCGACTGTCCCAGTTCATACGTCACGCACAAAAATTCAAATGTCTTAATGCTGCTTAAGCCATTCCTCTCCCTTTATCCATCTCGCCTGGCACGCGAGATGCACATGTAGCAATTGGCACGTCCCCTGACCGTTCCCGTGCCCCTTCCGACGTCTCCTCCCAGGCTGTTCCATCTAATCGAGACTGTGCGCTCTGTGGGAAAGAGACGGTCTAAAATGCCACGCCTCCCTCGTGCTGCTGTACAACCAGCCCAGGTGGCAGAGAATGGCCAGATTTTTCAGTAGCCCCCATATTGAGTTAAGAGCTGGCGCCCCGCCAACCCCGCCCCTCCAGGCTCCTGACTCACCGTGTCGCTTTTCAAAATCCCACCCTGGGATCGTTACGTTGGAATCAGGAGAAGCGGCAATACCCAGAGCCAGGAATGGAGAAGAGGCTGAATGCTAGGTGTCTCCGTGCTCCTGGCTGCCTGGGATCAGAGGTGGGGAAGGGGCTGCGGCTCTCCCCTCTGTTCAGTGGGGTAGGGCGGGCATCCCTATGCGTGGGGATGGGGTAGGGAAGATCTTGGTGCTTGTCCCCCTCTGAATTTGGAACAGTTTGATGGGGAAGGTGGAGCGATCGTCCCCTCCCCCTTTGAGTGGGGTAGAAGCAGGCCTTTGTGTCGTCTCTCTGCAGCTTGGGAGAATCCACAGGTAGCTGCTAATCCCCATCCCCTTTGTGCTTGGCTGCTTAATTGGAATAAGATGCCGTGTGGGACCATTTCTCTGCCCCAGAGGCTGTTAGCTTCCCGTGGGGGCAGGAGGCTGCTGTGGGGATCCTTTTATTTCTTCTTGAACAGATCTGGAGCCATAAGGAGAGGCAGGGGTCTGTCTGTCCTGCGTCCCTCTCCTACGCTTGACAGATCACAGGGGGATGCCCTCTCCCTTTGTCCTGTCAGGCACAGGGGATGGGCGGAGGGGGACAGGCAGGTGTTCAGAGGGGCCCCCAGAGGCAGCCCTTTGAACTGAAATGGACATGAGGCGCTTGGCTCTGTGTCTCCATGGGAGGGGCCCATTGGAAAGGACAGTGCTCCAGAGAATGTGCTATAAGGAAGGGACCCTGCCTGCACTTGCCACTGGGAATGGACCAGATCCAACAGGGCAGTGGCAGAAGCTAAGGGACATGGATGGCTCAGGGTTTCTGCATGCCCAGGTGATGTGTTGGGACTGGGATGGGGCGAGCAGGGTGCTGTCCCTACAAGTACCTCTGCACTGGCTGATCTGACCCGTCGTCCAGATTTTTCAGCACGTGGAGTCCAGCAAATCTGTGTGATCTGCTGAGCTGGAAAATCAGAGCTGTGTTCTCCCTGCCAGGATGTAGTGTGGAGAGCCAGGAGGAGACTCGCTCTCCCCCCGTTTACCCCGGAGCCCCTTCCCACAGATTCTCCTCCCTGCTCTGCGCAGTCACATGGCCAGCAAACCTGGCACCCCCCCCGCCCCCCGAGCTCCTTTCTCCCCTGCTGCTCCCCAGGCTGCGGGGAAGAGGGGGGCCGTGGGTGTGTGAGATGTGTGACAGCCTGACACGGCAGAGGGAGAGTTCTGCTCCAGCCCAGGAGTAGTCCGGGAAGCCTGGCTGGGTGTCAAGAGGATTTAACCCTTTAATGTTTAGTTGGTTCTCACCTCATGCTCCCATGTTGGGAGCCGGGCTCTGTGCAGATACTTGTCCGCACTCTTTTTAAATTATTTATATTTTTGATAGAGGTGAACTGAAATCTTTTAAATACCCTATCCCCACCCCTCACCCCAGGTCTAAGATCCCAGCTGATGGGTGATGGGATCCAGGCTCAGACAGGTCAGTTCTCTCCTCAGTTCTCTGCCAAGGCCTGAGATTGTAGGCTGCTTCCCCCTGCTCCAGTCTGTGACCCTGCTAACTCTAACATCAAAACAGGGATCCATGCTCCCTGGACTCCCATTGCTCGGCCAGCTCTTGGTGGCTTAATGAGCTGAAAAATAGTCTCTACTCCTTATGGGTATAAACCTTCCCCATGTGAAGTGTGTGTAAACAGGTGTAGCGATGTATGCCTGAGTCTTCAGGCAGCCTGAAACAATAGCTCTGAGAAGTGTGAATGCTCCCATTCAATTCTGTGGGGATGTTGACTCTGAAACCTAATGTTGGCTTATGTGTCCATGTTGTTAACTATTACGCCACTGATCAAAGCAGCTGAGAGAGAGGGAAGACCTGCACAATTTGCTGCAAGTGGCATCTTCTTTCAGTGACCAGCGGGCAGAGCTTGGGAGGGTGCCAGCGCTTATTTTCCCAGCCTGACCCCTGTAGGAGGAAGAAAGTGCAAGCCCTAATGTGCTTTGACTTCACTAGTGTGACACACTCACGCTACTTGCTTTTTGTCGATTTTCCAGGCCCTGTATGTGCCTGCCAACCTGAATCTCTGTATATTTTAATGACACAGGATGAATTCTTGGCCTCCTGTTTACAACAAATGACATTGTCTTGCCAAAATGTCCCCTCCCAGCTACTGTGCAATGTGCTAGTGCTAGTTGGTTGCTGCTGTCCACCCCAGAGGTGGCTGCATTTAATGGTAAATTGTATATATATGGTCTGTGAAGTGCTCTGGGTTCCTTGGCCAAGGAAAGGTGCTATATAAATGGCAGGACCCAGCTGTTGTCCTTGCAGTATGTGCAGTGAGGAAAGTGGCATCTTGCCCACCCGAACAGGGGCTTGACTCTCAGTGGAGGTCTCTTAGATGTCTGTTACCCAATCTGAAGACACGAGTGAAGGCCAGGATTTTCAGAGGGACTAGTGACATTTTGGTGGGTGTCAGACTTGAGACCCCTTTAAAGGGATTTTCTGGAAGTGCTAAGCATCTCCTCTGAAAATCTGATCCCTTTCAAGTGCATCGAGTCTGGCACCCAAAACCACTAGTGACTCTGGAGATGCTCACGTGACGATGTTTGTGGCTCCCATGTGTTTGCACCCACAATTATTTGCACCTGCAAAATGGGAGGCTGGGCTTCCAAATGGGGCTGTAGCCTTTCTGTGCACCACCCCCCCAACCCCGTCTCTCAATCCCCAAGTGACCAGGCTATTGATCAGCACCTAGAAGTGGGGGCGTGTGGATTTAACACTGAATGGAGGGAGGGAAGTGCATTTTCCCCACTCCCTCTACTTCTGTCCCTTTCTCCTTCCATCTCTCCTTACTGACATGCTGACAGAGGAAGGAGGTCAGGGGCTAATGGAGCTTGCGAGCAGAGTAGTTTTTCGGCTGCAGGCCCTGTACCGCCAGCTCTCCTCATACGGGAGCAGATGGGGAGTGGGGATTTGATTTGTACATTATAAGGTTAGGATGGGTAGGAAATGAAGGGCTCAGCTCACCACATTTGACATAAAAATCCTGCCTGGAGGGTGCATTTTATGATGATGATTTTAATCCTACATCTTCCCCCCAGTAAGCTCTTGAGCGGAGTCAAATGGGGTAGCCATGGGATTCCGGCGTTCCTGCTCTGCAGTGGGCATGGTGCCATAAACCAGGCTCCTCTTGCAGCAGCTGTGGGGATAGTTGTGTGTGTCAGGCATACTGACTCCAAGTGACCGGCCACCTTTCTCTCTGGGGTAATCCGTGCACAAGAGCTCTCTGCCCCCTGGGTGCACCTGCTTAGCAAACTCAGGTCGGTGCCGCTCGGCAGCTGGTAAAACGATGCTGTATTATAGGAGTATCTTCTACTGCCTAGTCTCATCAGTATGGATGGATCTGCGTGTTTTTACATGCAGTGTGGAGAGTTAAAAGCAAAGAACCAGGGAGCCCCAGGCTTGGTAAGAAGAGATGGAGTCTTTCCCTGCCCTCCTGATCACTAAAGCTCAAGATCACTTGATCTTCAGCCCAGTGGTGAAGTGATCAAAAGCATTTTCCACCTGATGGGTAGCTGGTTACATATCCTGAAGTAAGTTGGTTCCAGTCCTGTTCTTAACAGATAGGTCTCCGTATGACAGGAGCCTGCCTTCGCGATTGGCTCCAGCAGCCTCGTTGGCAGCCTTAATAAGAATTGAATGGTTTAAGAAACCCGAATGATCCAGTCACTCCTACAGGAATCCCTTTGGAACAGGGTGTTGGAAGCTTGCACTGTATGTGATGTATCTGCTCTATAGATAAACAGAGGACGTCAGGGCTGGTGTTCTGTTTCCTTTCACCACCCTTAAATATTCACTTCCTACAGGAGCACTGTCAGCTTGAAATCTTCTCTGGGTTTTTTTGTTTTTTTTTCAAATGACTTAGTGGTTTCAGGTCCTGCCCCTAGTCCCCACGGCCAGATTTTGTGATTGGTTAATAATCATACAACCCAATTTAAGTTGTTTTTTCCCCTCCCTTTGCTGTGTGAGACCCACATAAACAGAGGAATCTGTCTGACCAAACAGGTTAAAGAGTGAATTTGACTATTCACAATATGCAAAGTGAAGACAAAAACAGAGAATGATATTTCTCTCTAATCTCTCTTAGAAATAAATGGAGATATCCCATCTCCTAGAACTGGAAGGGACCTTGAAAAGTCATTGAGTCCAGCCCCCTACCTTTACTAGCAGGACCAAGTACTGATTTTGCCCCGGATCCCCAAGTGGCCCCCCCAAGGATTGAACTCACAACTCTGGGTTTTAGCAGGCCAATACTCAAACCACTGAGCTATCCCTCCCCCCTTTTCTTATAAGAAGTAGTCTTGGAAGGGTTAGATTTTATTGGTAAATGTTGAAATATGTCGATTTTACCATACATACACAAACCAAAAAAATATTTCCATCAATCATAATCAAAATGTATAGATAGGCAAAGTAAATAAAAAATGCTGCTTGAGAAATTGTTAGTTTGACTCCAGGATATTTACTTTGTATATTTGAATGTGATGTTGACAATTTGTGTTTTCACAGTTCTAAATCATTAACTTTTTGAATCTCAACATCTCCTGTCCTTCAGTAATTACTGTCCTCTCCCCTCCCCGCCGTCATTTCCCAAAATGTGGACAATTTAAATTGATAAAAGTTTTAAAAAAAATAAAAAATGAAAACCTGTAATTTTGCGCGAGTGAGAACATTTAAAAATAGATTAAAAAATCTTTAAAAAACCTTTAAAATAAACCTCTATCAAAATGATCAAAATCTAAAATTGAATTCCACCAAGCCTCGTTAGAATGTAGCTGTTACTCCAAAACATTACTTACAATTGCAAGTAAACCAATTTCCAAAAGAGGTGATGTTTTTTAACGTTGATGTCCTTTTAAAAAAAAGAACAGCGCAGTTGACCTGATCTAAAGCCCAGTGAGATCAGTGGAAAAGCCCCATATGATCTGGATTTAACCCAACTCTAGTGGGTCGATCTTCCAGAGTTTCCTGGGATTGTTCCCATTGAGGGGGCGTGGCAATCCAAACCCAGCTCACTGCATTTACATTCCGCCCCATTTCAGGATACTAAGGGCCTGATCCAGTGGCCATTGAAGCAAATGAGTCTTTGCTCTGGCTTCAGTAGGTGTTGTTGGATCAGACCCCGGATTTCCTAGGGCAGAAGGAAGAGCAAATGGCAGAAGCTGTGCTGTCAGAGAGCAACAAGCCAGCTATCTCTGCAAAGATCTGCTTGCTGTGGGGCTGCAGCTTCCTTTGCTCACAAATCCCCCTGGTGCCCAGAGAGGAGCTGAGTTAAGGTGGCTATTGGCCAGGCTGTGAGCATGTCATTGAGGGCAGCTGCAACCCTGGCCAGGCTCTCCCTTCTGCCCTAGAAGATCTGGGGTCTGATCCAACACCCGCTGAAGCCAGAGCGCAGACGCTCATTGGACCAGGCCCTTCGGATTCTGAAATGAGGTGAGTGGGGCCTGGATAGAAATTAGCTGCGTCTTTATGGAAAGCGGTGAATTGCGTTGCACAAGCAATAACCTTTGAGCTCCTGACAGTCTTGCAGCGGAGTTGCTCTTCCTATCGGTTTAGCAGCCTGCACCGTTCAATGCTGGATGAAGAAACATCAAAGTTAGTTCATTCCAAAGGTCCTTAATCAGTGGGCCCTTTCAGGTCAGACTCAGCACCAGCGTGGCTTGCACTTGGGTTTACTTTAATTTGGATGCTACTAAACCTTGTGGTGGGATGGCTTTCCCTGGTCCTTATCTCCCACTGCCTTCCTGACTGTGAACCCCTATCCCTACAAAATGGAAAGGAGGAGAAGAATGCAGCATGTCACTCTGTCCAGTTTCTCCCATCCCAGTTCCTGCTCCCTTCCCCACATTAGCAGGGAGCACAGCTAGGCTTAAGAGTAGCTCTGAGAATCGTTCTTCCTGAAGTAGTTGGGCTGGAGGTTAAGTTTTAAAGGCAATGGCTTCTGATTGCAGATAGATCTTTCCATGATCAGCAAGACTGGGAAATAATATAGAAAGGCCCTGATGTTGTTTGGTTTTAAAACCTCCTTGCTTGCCTGTGTTTTCTGGTGCCTCGCTAAAAATCCAGATCCATACAACCTGTAGACAGTTTTGAGTTCTGTAATTCAGAGAAGCACTGTCTGTACATTGTCTAGCACAATGGGGCCCCAATCTCGGTTGGTCTGTAGGCAGTACCATGATAAACATGATAAATAATTGTCATGGAGTCCAGCAGATCAGGAGTGAACAAATATTCAGTCTGATGTCTCAGCCATGTCATTTATTATTTCGTTGTTCCATGGTAGCAATCATGGCCCCAATGTGACACCCCAGTGCCTGCACTTGAAGCATTCACAAGCTAAGCAAATAATCTTCCATTCTCCCCCCACCCTCCTTTGTTTCCTGTGTCACAGCCTGTACTCTGCAGTAACACCCAGGTGAGCATGGACCCCTGAGGGATCAGTACAGCACCCAAGGCAACAGATACTGACAGACCTCCTCAGCACCAGCCTCCTCATCTGACTTCCCATCCAGGAATCATGTGCATGCATAGCGGTTTGCGTACGTGTATTAACAGACACATGGATGGTTTATATACATGCTGTCACGTTAGTTACAGAACACGAGTTTATCTAGAGGGTTTCACTTATATGCACTGTCTGATGATTTTACATATGTATATACACAGTATATATGTACAAATCATTGTAAAAAATGGGTATGTGCTGTCATCACATGTTAAGCAAAGAGAGAATTTAAAAAGAGCTTTTAGTATTTAATATCAAGGAACAACCCTAGCTCCATTACTGACCCCTGCCTGGGGAGCTAGGGGATAATGGCAAGATTTAGAGCTTAAAGGGCTGATCATACAAACAGGGCATTTGTATGTGTTGCTGTAGACTACTGGCCTTTAGGGATCTGGTGAGGGACATGATAACAGAAGGCAGGGGGCTTTAGCGCTACCTTCCTTAAGGATTCGCTCCCTGCGGCTGCTCCTTCCACACTCACTGCCTCTCCACAAGAGAGTCGTGGATAGAGGGGCTGGGAAGGGGCTAAGGGGGATCTGAGAAAAGGGTCTGAGTCCCATCCCCCTGGCTGCAGGATGGTATGAATGTATTTCTGCCTAATCCCCAGTCGCACGCTTCGATCCCTCCAGTCAGGGGCTCCGTGACTGCGGCAGACGGCCTATTCCACCCTCGAATCTCCTTCACTATTTAAAAAGTGGGATAAATATTGTTTTCTTAATTTTAACTCCTGCAGATTCCTCCCCTGTCCCCCTCTGTAAACTCTTCATCATCCCCTGCAGACCATGTGCTCATCTTTCCTTTGGGCCATACATGTTCCTTTCTCCTTGCAAATCCTCGTCTAGGACACATTTTTAAAAAAAATCCTGTCTCCTGATTGGCCGGTGAAGTGCAGCCAGCGCTTGGCTCTCTGTCCACAACCTGAGGGAAGAGAAGTGGGGGTGGGGTGTACAAATATAGCTCGCCTCCCTGGGGCCCCAAGGGGCTGAGCACCTCTTGTGAGAGTCTTGGTATCTTTCCTGAAATCAGCGAGAGCTGAGAACACTCAGCAACTTGCAGGATCAGGCCCTGGGGATCTATGGAAGAAAAACACTTAGAAGGGCCTGATCCAAATCAATGGACCAGGCCCATAGTCTAAGTATTATCTACTATGCACCTTTAATCTTGGTAAAAGCCACACCAGAGCATCTCCCAATGACTGGGATCTCTTTGGTTGCGCTTTTATCAATTCTGTTTTAATTATTCAGGGCTCTATTTTTTTAATTGGATCCTAAGCTGACTGTTAAACAGACACGTCTGTAGTAGCTTGTTTTTAAGACTGACTGGATTGGAAATCCAGCCAGTTGCTTAGAAAACGCTCAACGGTGTGGGAAAGCCGAACAACAGCTAAAACTGCAGTCGAGTAGGTGCAAGTTTGCTCCTGAGGGCTGGGGTCAGATCCATGATCTGGATGCTTTTGTGAGCAATGGAGCTCTGAGTGGAGGCTGATGTGCCATGCCGTACAGAGCACTGACGTGTGCAGCACTCCAGGTCGGGCGTGACTAGAGCTGGGCGAAGAAACTTATATTTTTTCCAGTTAAAAATGCAGTTTCGGCAACGCTGAATTGTTTCACGAATTCATGGTGATTCTGCTGAATTGTTTTGGTCTTTTTAAAAAAATGGGGGGATGGGTTTGAAACTGCTTTTAGTTCTAAACTGTCTCTTAATTTTATTAGAACGTGGTCAAAATCAAAATATAATGGTTTGATTTTGTCAAAACAAAATCTCATTTGCCCCAAAACAATTTTTTTGTTGACCTTCCAAACTTGCCAGTGAACCAAAAAAATCTATTTGCCCAGCTCTAGTGCTGACTCGAGTACTGCAGATGTGCCTTCATCAATGAATCAGTCAGCTCCCTGCTCCTACATCAGATCTCTCAATCAGTCCAGTCGCTCCGTTTTGGAACAGAATTTCACCGTGTGCCCTCCCCAATCTCTTTCTGTAATACTGTGTCCCTAACCAGCATTCTCTCAGGCTGTAGCAACACTGTCCTGAAATGGCTGGGGAGAGATTAAGCAAGCTAGGGGACCAGAAGGATTCATATCAACCCTAAGAGCATTGGTCCTACCTCTGTGCACTTTATTGTCTGAAGCCAAATACGCCAGCTTGAATTTAGCCTGACTAATTTTCATGCCCTTTATTTCTGTCTACTTCTGTAGATCCTGGACTATCCCAGACAAGGGGAGCCATTTGCTATGGGGCAAAGGGGGCAGTTACCCCTCCCAGACCTTGATTTGCCCCTCCGCCCCAACTTTTCATAGGTCTCTCTGTTCCATTCCTTCCCCCCCCAACTTTGCAGGATACAATCTAATCACATATAATGTTCTATATGCTGACAACTTTGCCCCCCCTTGCACTCTCCTGAAATGCTGCAGGCCCCTGGGCCAAATTCATCCCACTGGAGGTCATGACAAAATTCTGATTGGGATCAGGCTTTGGCCTTATTCCTATGCCCATATAACTGGGTGCTGAATTGCTAACCACCAGTTCCTCTCTAGCACTGGGTTTATTGGCTCTTTTTGTTTGGAGCTGCTTTGAGCCACAATCCTGACTGATCCTTTCCTCCCTGTGACAATCTTTACTTATAGACATCACTTAACCCTGAAACCCCCAACGTTATTTTGGACTGAACTGACCCTCACCTCAGCTCTTATTTTTGATTCTGATTTTTCTTTCTGTTCTGCTTGTAGGCGGCTGGGTCGATGAGTGAGCTCCTCTGGCTCTGTGCACTGTTTTAAATGTAGGGGAGGGAAATGTAAATTGCAGTAGTTGCTTGGCAGGAGGCAGCGCTGTGTGAATGGGCCCAGCACTGCTCAGAGCTTTTCTCAAAATCTGCTGCGTATAAAGAAAATGTAATTTATTGTTGGCTTTATTAAATAACTTTCCAAATACTCCAGTCCCCGGTTCCTTTCTTCAGTGGCCGGCTCAGACACCGAACCATCATTTATTCAGCTGGACACAGACCAGATATTACAGTTTGTAGGTGACGAGCGTCTCTGTTCACACAGGATCTGATTAATGAACCTTGCAGCCCCTGTTCCCAGTACTGACCCAGCCCCTGCTCTGTGAGCTGGGGAGGGAACAGTGAACCCACCAGCCCACATTTGCTGTCAGCCTCCAAGAATAACTTTGCTGGGGGAACCCCTTAAAAAAAAAGCCAGTCTTGGGCACCTGCAATTAATCTGTGTCCACTCCCCGCTCCCACAGCTCCAGAAGAATTCTAAGGAGATTCAAGATACCCAAGCCAATATTGTAACTTTGTCAAAAACTTTTATCGAAATTGTACCAAAACTACATGTTCTAATGATGAATTAGAAAAAAGTAAAGATTTTACAGTGACAGGGTTATGCTTATTTTACAATTTAAATAACCTCAGGTTAGCCCCCTACTTTCTGTACAAAATGTGTGAGCAGGAAAAGAAGTTCCAAGCAATATACATATTCACAATGGTTAGCCAAAGTCTGGTTGCAGTTGAGGATCTGCAGCTTTGCATGCATTAAAAGCAATGGAGCACCTAGAAGAGAGGGCAAATGTTTTTTTTAAGTAGCTCCAAAACATGAGTAACCAGAGGGTGACCCTTGGACCAGCTCAACCCTATGGCATGCTCTAGAGTCTATGGATACGTCTACACTGCACTAAAAGACCCACCAGAGGCTGGGCCTGGCCTGGGTCAGCTGACTTGGGCTCCCAGGGCTTGGTCTGTGGGACTGAAGATTGCAGTGTAGACATTTGGGCTCTAAGAGCCTGTGAGCGCAGGTAGGTCTCAGAGCATGGGCTCCACCCCGAGCCCAAAGGTCTACACTGCTATTTTGAGCCCCACAGCCGAGCCCTCCGAACCTCAGTCAACTGACCCAGGCTCGGAGACTCAGTGCATTTGGTTTTTAGTTAAAACAAATTGTGAGCTTATACAGATGTTGGGTGTAACCCTAAGACTTCCCAGCATACTTGGGGGAGTGGTCCGCATGTCTGGATGTCCCTTTTCTGGCACATCACGATGTGAGCCACAGGAGAGTATCACTTGTACACCCAGGGTCCAATCTGAAGTCATTGGAAAGCTCAGGCCTACAAGGAAGAAGCATGCTACAGAGAGAAAACTCTTTGCAGTAGAATCCCAGTGGGCTTGCACGGGGGTGTACGGTACCAGAGACTAGGTTTACTACATAGACCTGCAGGCCTTGGCGTGATCACTGTAGTTATTGTCAGGGTTATAAAAATTCTGCTAAAATTAATTTATACCGATAAGTTTCCTGGCTATGGACTATGGGGAGCAGGAGGGAATAAGAAGTGAAGTGCTCAGCTTGGATGGCAAAAGGGCGCTCACATTCACCCTGGGCTATTGGATTCCTCTTTCCCCTATTTCCCTAGGTCTGTGATGGCCAAACAGGGGTCAGGGGCTGCTCACCACTGATGGGCTTTCAGCTCCCTTCATGCCATGCCCTGTAGGTCCCAGCAACTAGGAGGTTGCGAGAGCATGTTTGCCATAGGCTGCTAGTGGGGATCAACCAGGTAATTAGAATCATAGAAGATTAGGGTTGGAAGGGACCTCAGGAGGTCATCTAGTCCAACCTCCTGCTCAAAGCAGGACCAATCTCAACTAAATCATCCCAGCCAGGGCTTTGTCAATTATTTTGGTTCATTCTGCCAATACTTCTGTGAGATAGGAATTATTATTATTAAACCCATTTCACAGATGGGTAAACTAAGGCAGAGAGAGAGGGCCAGGCCTTATGGACACTGCAAACCTGTGTCTGGAAAATGTGCCTCTGCTAACTCTGTTTTGCTGCCATGTGCTTTGAAAGCCACTCTCAATCTTGGTGTGCAATTTATGTAATTTTGCTTAAGTTCACCCAGTGAAATGCTAGAAATAGAATCCAAGCATCCAGATTCCTCATCTTCTGCTCTAAGCATTAGACAAGACCCTCTCTTCCCAACACAGTATTGCCAACTCATTGCAAAACTATTGCAAGTCTTGCGCTGTACTTAAATCTGTCATCACATAAGACTCCAAACTTTCATTTCTTTAATGAAGGAAATGTCTTGCCCTTGTGGCTGGGTGTAAAAACACGACCCTCGAAAGGCTCAAAACCCAAAGGCAAAGAAAAATAACTCCCAATCTCACAATTTTTTCTAGCCAGTCTCAATTTCTTGGAGCCTGACTCATGAGCCCTGAACAGCTGGGGCAGTGTGGGGCCATCCTCAATTCAATGCTTTGTAACCAGATGTTTGAAGATTTCCTGGCTTCTGTTAGCCCTAGTGTTTGGAATGGAGAGCTCCCCTCTGGGTGAATACCTATGTCCACAGGTATGAACCACACACAAGAGCAAGAATGGGGATTACAGCATTTTCTGATCCCTCTAGTGTCCCTCAAACTAGCTCTTCCCCTGGAACTGAGAATTTAGGGTGAGCAGTATATAGAGAACAGACTCAGTCCCTGGCTGGGCTCCCCTGGTAGGCTCTAGGCACCTGCCGCATCTCTCCTCCGGTGAAAGAGAAAATGATGTTTCCGGGGTCCAAGGAAAAGGCATCTCTGCCCCTCCAGCCACCTCTACCCCTATGGGAACCTCAGCCCGTGGAGAAATGCTGGACAAGCACCCGGAGTCCCAGTGCCGGGAAAGGCGCCTCTAAACGGGGCCCCCCGGGTGGCTAGCGACCCTGAGTGTCAGCCGGGACCCCTGCTCCAGCTCATGGCAGCCACCTCCAACGCTAGGGGGCCCCTCCCCGTGGTGCTGCACACCAGCTCGCTCCGACCCCCTGAGTCAGCCCCGGGCCAGGCTCCGAGCAGCCCGGCCTAGGGCCAGGAGAGGAGCCGGAGCCCCAGCGGCAGGGCCCCCAGTGCCAGGGCGCGCCAGGCCGGCGCGTCCCGAGAGCGGCCCCCGGAGCGCACCCAGGCGCCGCCCGCGCCCGGCCCCTCGTCCTCTTCCCGCAGGAGCCGCTCCTCGTCCCGGTAGTCCTCGTCCGGGCCCGGCTCGGCGGGCGGCCCGGAGCACAGGCGGCCCATGTTGGCCTTGAGCACCTGGCAGAAGGGGCGCTCGGGCCCGTCGCAAACGCAGCGCTCCAGCGCGGGGCCCCCGGCGCGGCCAGCAGCTGCCCCATGGCGGCCCGGCAGGCGGCCGTGCAGCGCCGCCCGTTGAAGAGCTGCCCGCAGCGGGCCAAGTAGGCGTCCAGCGGCTCCCGGCAGGCGGGCTCCTGCTGACAGCGGAAGCGGGCGGCCGTGCAGCCCAGGCCGCTGCGGGAGGGCCGGGGCAGGCAGGGCTCGATGGCCGCCTTCAGCCGGCGGCAGCGCGCGTCCTGCCCGCACTCGCAGCGCTCCAGGGCCGGGCCGCTCCGGCTGCGGTTCAGCCGCACCAGCGCCCCGATGCAGTGGCTGGGGCAGCCGCCGGGGGGGCTCCTCTCCTCCGGCTCCGGCCAGCACCGGCTCGCAGGCCGCCTGCGACTGGCTATAGGCGGAGCCGCAGTCCGGCTCGTCCTGGCAGCGGAGCAGCGCTTCCCAGCAGGGCTCCCCCGGGGCGCCGCCGCCAGCGCGGCCCCAACACAGCAGCAGCGGCAGGAACAGCCACATGGAGCGAGCGGCGCCCCAGGCTCCATGCGCCCCAGCGCCCGGCTCCGCCTCCAGCCTGCGCTCCTACCCCGGGGCCAGGCAACAGCTGCCGCCTGCTCCGCCAGGCACCGCTCGACTGCAGTCCGAGCGGGCCGTGCCCAGGTGACTCGAAGGGCCCAGTGATGGGTTCCGGTGGAGGGCTCCCCTGTCCTAGGGCAAGTGGCCGTCGGATCCCAGTCACAAGTTGGGCTGGCGCAGACCGGCCCCCGGTTGCGCGACCCGCTGTCCGGTGCACGGTGCAGTCAGGTGCCCGGTTGCACGCCCCGGTGACCGCTGTAGTCAGGTGCCCGGTGCACGCCCCGCTGACCTGTGCAGTCAGGTGCCCGGTTGCTTGCCCCGCTATCCGGTTCACGGTGCAGTCAGATGCCCGGTTGCACGCCCCCACTTTGCAGTGCAGTCAGGCCCCCGGGTGCATGTTCCCCCCGGTCCCGGTGCACTCCGCGGTCAGATCCCCGGTGCAAAATGCTGGCGCTGCGCTTCTACCATCCCTCTGGGTGAGGGGCGGGGGGACCCCCACACCCAGTGACGGGGGAAATCTTTTCCATTCATCTTCCAGGCAGTTGCAGACCCATTGTTCCCTTTCCCCTCCTGTTGCAGCCCCTTCCCAGAGCCCCCTCCATCTCTCCGCCCCTTTCCCCTCTGCTCTCCCGGCCTTCCAGTTCCTACAGCTGCCAGTGTGGTCTCCAGGCTTTCCCAAAATGGGGCAGGAAGAGGTTCCTGCTAGTCTCTGCAGAAACGGGTTCACTTACACCTTCCTCTTCCCCCCCCCTCCTAGTAATCACACAGCCATTCTTGTCATGCCTCAGATGGATCTCTTCTGCTCATCTGGCTAATCTTTCTGCAGCCAACATGAGCTCAGGGCCTCTTTGCACAGTGCAGGTGGCAGAGGTTGGTGTGGGTTAGGCAGAGGGGGATTTGCTGTGAGGCTCCAGAGGCCAGAAGAAGAGCAAAGGTGGAGCCTCTGGAGTGGAGAGGCCAGCAGAGGCTAGCTTGGATGGTTGCTGCCTCTCTTGGTGTGGAGGAGGCAGAAGAGTGGACTGGGAGGGTCCAATTCCTCCCTTGCTCTGCGCCTTGCACAGCCATTTAGGCCTGTGCAAAATGCTGCCCAATCAGAATGCCAGGCAGAGGCAGCCTTTTGCACTAGGGTAAGTGCAAGCCACAGGGCAGTGGTGAGCCAGGCTCGGAGTGTGTGTGACTGGGGCAGTGCTGGCGGTGACTGTAAATTGAGCACTGACTAGCAGAGGGTGGGCACTAGTCAGCTCTCGGTGGGTTACACTGCTATGCACAAGTGGT